CTATCCCTACTGGATGTCTGTGTAACATAATTCAGGACTATCCCTACCGGATGTCTGTGTAACATAATTCAGGACTATCCCTACTGGATGTCTGTGTAACATAATTCAGGACTATCCCTACTGGATGTCTGTGTAACATAATTCAGGACTATCCCTACTGGATGTCTGTGTAACATAATTCAGGACTAACCCTGCTGGATGTCTGTGTAACATAATTCAAAACTATCCCTACTAGAACTCCGTTTAACATAATTCAGGACTATCCGTACTGGATGTCTGTGTAACATCATTCAGGACTATCCGTACTGGATGTCTGTAAAATAATTCAGGACTATCCCTACTAGAACTCTGTTTAACATCATTCAGGACTATCCGTACTGGATGTCTGTTTAACACAGCCATCACACGATTAGCTAGAGTACACAGCCATCACCCGATACTAAACTGACTTGTTAGCAGTAAACACAGCCATCACACGATACTAAACTGATAAGCTAGCAGTAAACACAGGCATCACCTGATACTCAACTGACTTGTTAGCAGTAAACACAGTCATCACCCGATACTAAACTGATTTGTTAGCAGTAAACACAGCCATCACCCGATACTTAACTGACTTGTTAGCAGTAAACACAGTCATCACCTGATACTCAACTGATTTGTTAGCAGTAAACACAGTCATCACCCGATACTAAACTGACTTGTTAGCAGTAAACACAGCCTGGATACTAAACTGTTGTTAGTAAACACAGTCATAACATCATTAAACTGATTTGTTAGCAGTAAACACTATCCGATACTACTGGATGTCTAAACTGACTTGTTAGCAGTAAACACAGCCACCACCCGATACTAAACTGACTTGTTAGCAGTAAACACAGCCATCACCCGATACTAAACCGACTGTTTAGCAGTAAACACAGCCATCACCCGATACTAAACCGACTGGTTAGCAGTAAACACAGCCATCACCCGATACTAAACCGACTTGTTAGCAGTAAACACAGCCATCACCCGATACTAAACTGACTTGTTAGCAGTAAACACAGCCATCACCCGATACTAAACTGACTTGTTAGCAGTAAACACAGCCTCAACTGACTTGTTAGCAGTAAACACAGCCATCACACGATACTAAACTGTTAGCTAGTAAACACAGCCATCACCCGATATTTAACCGACTGTTTAGCTTTAAACACAGCCATCACCCGATACTAAACCGACTGGTTAGCCATCACCCGATACTAAACTGACTGGTTAGCAGTAAACACAGGCATCACCCGATACTAAACCGACTGTTTAGCAGTAAACACAGCCATCACCCGATACTAAACTGACTGTTTAGCAGTAAACACAGCCATCCCCGATACTAAACCGACTTGTTAGCAGTAAACACAGCCACCACCCGATACTAAACTTGACAGTTGTTAGCAGTTAGCAAACACAGCCATCACCCGATACTTAACTGACTGTTTAGCAGTAAACACACATCACCCGATACTAAACTGACTTGTTAGCAGTAAACACAGCCATCACCCGATACTAAACTGACTTGTTAGCAGTAAACACAGCCATCACCCGATACTAAACTGACTTGTTAGCAGTAAACACAGCCATCACACGATACTAAACTGACTTGTTAGCAGTAAACACAGCCATCACCCGATACTAAACTGACTTGTTAGCAGTAAACACAGCCATCACCCGATACTAAACTGACTTGTTAGCAGTAAACACAGCCATCACCCGATACTAAACTGACTTGTTAGCAGTAAACACAGTCATCACCTGATACTAAACTGACTTGTTAGCAGTAAACACAGCCATCACCCGATACTAAACCGACTTGTTAGCAGTAAACACAGTCATCACCCGATACTAAACTGACTTGTTAGCAGTAAACACAGCCATCACCCGATACTAAACTGATTTGTTATCAGTAAACACAGTCATCACCTGATACTAAACTGATTTGTTAGCAGTAAACACAATCATCTCCCGATACTAAACTGATTAGCTAGCAGTAAACACAGCCATCACCCGATACTAAACTGACTTGTTAGCAGTAAACACAGCCATCACCCGATACTAAACCGACTGGTTAGCAGTAAACACAGCCACCACCCGATACTAAACTGACTTGTTAGCAGTAAACACAGTCATCACCCGAAACTAAACTGGCTTGTTAGCAGTAAACACAGCCACCACCCGATACTAAACTGACTTGTTAGCAGTAAACACAGTCATCACCCGATACTAAACTGACTTGTTAGCAGTAAACAAAGTCATCTCCCGATACTAAACCGACTGTTTAGCAGTAAACACAGCCATCACCCGATACTAAACTGGCTTGTTAGCAGTAAACACAGCCATCACCCGATACTAAACTGACTGGTTAGCAGTAAACACAGCCATCACCCGATACTAAACCGACTTGTTAGCAGTAAACACAGCCATCACCCGATACTAAACTGACTTGTTAGCAGTAAACACAGGCATTACCCGATACTTAACCGACTGTTTAGCAGTAATCAAAGTCATCTCCCGATGCTAAACTGATTTGTTAGCAGTAAACACAGTCATCACCCGATACTAAACTGATTAGCTAGCGGTAAACACAGGCATCAACCGATACTAAACCGACTGGTTAGCAGTAAACACAGTCATCACCCGATACCAAACCGACTGGTTAGCAGTAAACATCGGCATCACCCGATACTAAACCGACTGGTTAGTCGATCGGGCTAAAGAGAAATTCTCAATAGCCGGCTGGTATATTGTTTCTTGATCTACTAGATTACATACACCTCCTCCTGGAATAACTCTTCCTCGAGTTTTTAGGGGATACAGCGATGCTGGTGGATATTATACCAGAGTCCCTACGTGGGCGCCAATGTAACATTTTAATGAATCCGCTAGGATTCGAAGCAGGAACCTCTGGTTTACTAGTCTGACGCTCAACCGATTGAGCTTAAGAGAAAGTCTTTCTAGCCGAGCGGTATATTGCAGCTAGTATTTATAGACTCCAGTTAGATATTCACAGTTACTATCAACTTAGATATTCACAGTTTCTGTCCCCAGTTAGATATCCACAGTTCTGACAATGTTGATAATTCTATAAAGTTCTCGTTCCACTCGAAATGTTTTGTAATGACCTAAAACTCAATGTCTCCATCGGGATGGTGGCCTGACTTTTTTGTTTACAATCTTATCAGCTTTCTGTTTCGATATAAGATCTCACAGTTTTGACAGATTGCAGTTCCGACTAAAATGTTTGCGGTTCCAACGGGTTTCTGTCCCGGCCTAAATGTTTTTTTATTTTAAAGGGTGTCTTTCAATATTTTCACGAACATAAAGGAATATTTTCGAGACGTTAAAAGTTGTACAGCTAGGAGATTTATGTCCAAAAACATAAATCATTGATATAATGGATTGTTCTCTTGATCTTAAAAGTTACCTTAGAGTCTCAAAGGTACATCTACCTGACAGGGTTACAGGGCTAACATTCATAGATCACAATGGTATGGAACCTATCATTTGAATAAAGAGGACTCCACGAATTGTCCTTAAGGACATCATAACTTTTCTAAAAGCTCATATAATAATTTCAGTTGTAAGTATTTTACTCTTAGCGCAAGCACAATTGAAACTGTATAAAATTACTCTTTCTAAGTTGTTTTATCTGAAAGTCTGTTTTGTAACTTCATTTCAAAAAGAGCGGAGGAAAACTGCAATACCTGCAATACATTTATTACAGACAAAAAGAACATTCTACCAGAAGCTTTGAATGCTTAAATTGTGAAATCATTATGTTCCATCATATTCACGTCCTCTTTCAGTGCTTAAAAATCTAATATGAAAACAAAACCCTGGTTTAACTTCCTTAGCCTGATGTCAAGACCACACTTCACGAGTAAAGTTATTGTACCTGCAGATAAGACCATTGATATTTTTATCGATGTCTTTAAAAATCATTTCATTACCTGCATACAAAAAACCCATAAACTGACTCAATTCCCGAGAAAATCCTGCCTTTCACATTTTCTAATATTTCTAAAGAAGAAATGTTAACTATTGTCATTACCTAAATTTACAATTACTCCCAGATTTCTGACCTTCACATAAAACCACATAAATGACATTTTATTAGTGGTGCGTATTGCTGATCCACCTAAAAGTTATCATTGCCATTTTAATTGCTACCAAACCAAGTTGAAAGGCTTGGTGGTTTTTTTATGTTAGAAATGTAATGAAACGTATGGAAATTAAAGGACACCAAAGAAAAATATTGAGCATCGTCTAAAGAAAAATACATTTGTCTACAAGGACATTTGAATTATCCATTCAGTTTACTAACGTCGCATTTCAAACTGAACAAACGTATTGAATGATTAGAAAACTTTCTTTTTTACGTTATGTGAAATAACATTTGAAATTTCAATGAGCATAAGCAATGGAATACGTGTATTTTGAGATCAAAGATTGGCTTCTAAGTTTCAACAGATATAAAGCGGGTTTTTTCCGTTTTTCTTTCTTTTTTTTTTCTTTTTGTTTCTTGTTTTGTTTTGTTTTGTTTGTTTTTTTTCTCTCTTTTTCGGTTTTTGTTTTTTTTTTAGTTGCTGTAAGATCTGTTTGTCTGTATGAATGCAAAACGTATAGATTTGTCCCGTTTTATCATCTTAACGGTGTCTTTTTTATTTTGTTAGTAAAATAAATCCGTGAAAATTTATTATGCATATCATTGTAGATGTTTTAATTGGACCTCTTTCGTTACCGTGATCATTTCTTCTTGTTTTCTTTTTCCTTTTTCTATCGCATTTATTTTATGCCACTTTTTATAAACATTATAAACATGTGTATAAACTATTTAAAAAATGTTAAATCTACAGCTACAGAATCATTTTGATGACTACATGGAGGAATTTTCAAATGTAATTAATGAACAGAAGAAAACATATTTAAACCAATACGCAATCATTAATGATATATAAAATACTTACCAATCGGAAGAAGTTTCCACTTTTCTGAGTGGATATTTCCCATATCGCCGTTAAACGATTTCAATCGCTTTGAAGTCCGGGTTGTTGCTTGGAAATTGTTCATGTGATTGGAAACTGTTAGTATACTTGATTCCTCACTATATATCTGGTTACTATCTAAAATTCATTTATGCTTGTTTGACTAAGTAAGAGAAACTATTTTCTGTTTTTCTTTATTGTAAAATATTTGTTAATATCCTGTCCTTAACTGTGTTCAATTAGTTACCTTGAAAGCACACGACTAGTTCTTTAGCAGTGTAGATGGCTTCACTGTTCAAACTTAACAGCAATTAACGCACTCCACGAAGTTATTGTCTGGATCATATTGCCTTATTTCGTTTAATTACTCCTGACAATAGAAGAATAATTAGTGTAAATCGGTCCGCATTGACACTCTTCAGAGTATATATGGCTGAACCAACGCTTGACGGGAAGTTAAATGGTACGGACAATCAAAGACTATATCCCTGACGAGCCCATTATCAGTGCTAATAACTCATTCGTAAGACCTGGACTGAATCAAACGCTAAAAGGATCCTGGGTGATTCATTGAAAGCGTTATCGATTAATTCAGTTGTTTTTATACTGATGAACTATGAAAAGCTTGTATTGATTATCATTGTATGATATTGGTGTATCATGAAGGAAACTTACAAAAGTGGAATAAAATATTTTCTTTTCTAACTTGAGGTAGATTTACAGGTAAGATAACAGTTTAACTTGTTTACGGAATAATCTTTGTTTTCTTTTTGAAATTTTGGAGGACAGTTATTTTCACGAATTTTAATTCGATGATTTTAATGACGAAAAACAAATGTTAAAATACACATGTTTATTTTCCATAGCCAGATCAATTTAATAAATGAAATCATAGTATTACTATATAAAATTCGTCCAGCAAAAAATATACCGCACAGTATTATCTGCGAATATCACATACACGATAGTATCTCTTATCGCACTTCAGTCCATTAATCAAGCACACAAAATACGACAACAAAACCTTACATTAATTAAATCTTACTTGCAAATTTCATTGTGTAAAACGTGGAAATTACATGTCGTTAAAATGATATGATATACAATACATTAACGTTATGTTTGGTCTTCGGTCAACACACAACATGTTAATGACATTGTTGTATAAACGTATTCTGTTTCATAGATAGATTTTTAGATGTTCTTATCGAGGAATATGTCACGTGATTCAGTAAGAAAATAAATATAAGCAGGCAGTTCACAAGCTGGAAATCTATCTGCTTCTAAACAAGAAGGGATATATCGACATGTTGACAGAATCTAAAATAAAACTAAATCAATAAACAAGGACAAATTATGAACGAAAAACAGGTTTTAATGGAGATCCAGGAAAACTTGGTGCGGACTGGAATCTTAGGTGTTCCTGGTAAGATCGGGGATATCTAGTAGATGATGTCACGTTCCTAGTTCAGAATAAGGTTAAAGATAACGGAAACATCAGACAGACTTTCGAGCATCAAGCACTTCCAACTTCATACCGCCAAAGAATATACGACTGTTTGATGTGTCGGGGTGTAGAATAGGGATATTCTGACCAAGAGGTCACAAACCGTCATTAAACTCGAGGCTTTACCGACATATGATATTTATTTTTTATTTCATTTCTCACTAAGATGCCCACAATATACTGCAAATTATGCCATATTACACGAAAACATTATTTTTTATTATGCAATTAATCGTAAAGTTGACATAGAAAATGAATTCATCGTAAGCACATTTGGCAAACAAAGTTTGCCATAGTTTGTTTGCCATAGAAAATTTAATTAAGTTATGAATAGTCAGTGCAAGTAACTATTTGTTCATGTGTGTATAAACTGAATCAGGCGAACAATTGGTAAGGGACATTTCTACGTGCGCTTACCTGTATTGCGTGATTGGTGAGTGTAATACAGAACGGCGAACCTGGGTGTATCGCCCTGAACACACCAGTGCTACACAGGTAGAAATGAGAGATTTTTTTCTATAGGTTCATGATGGCTACCATAAAACTTTCCCGTAAGCTTTCTCAGTTTGTATCTTTCTAAACCATGTAGAGTGAGTGTATCTGTCGATACTTTGATACAGGAGAGCCTATGGAAGAAGGGATGTTGCTATCCAAAAATGAAAAATTCGTAGAAGGGAAAACGAAATCATCAGGCTTATGATACAGATAGGTGGAAAAAGTTCGGTTCACGATCGGTTCCCATTAATCTTTAGAATTGAGTACAACATAGACAAATAAATTATGTCAAAAGAAATTAATTAATCGGTGTTGGGTTTGATAGAGGAAATATGCATAAACCAGATCAAATCCATCGTTGCACGTATATGGAAAATTAAAATAAAAGATACAACAATAATAAAAAGACATGCAGCAACTCGCATTATAATCCATATAGTCTTAAAGATATGAAAAACGACTTTATGAGGTTCGTATAAGGTCAATGTATAGAAACACAAGAACTAAGTATCCTGCCATATTCATTGTTTTATCTCAATGTATCATTGTGTCTAATGTAAAAATAGAAGTATTAAAGTTATGAATCCTGAGAACATTTACATACAGGTAACAATATAAGGTATTGTTTATAACCTTCGATTGGCTTATTAGCTTTTGTTCTCTTTAAACGTTAAGTATTCATCTATCTGCTATACGCTTTGTATCTGTATGAAAGATTTGCATTCAGTATTTGTATGTGAAAACATTATACGATCAAACATTAGATCGATATCGTCATACTCCTTCGGTGGTGGTGGTGGAAATGGTGATTATCGACGACTCGGTGGTAGTGAAACAGATAGTTACCGATTAACAGATAAAATAGCGAAGGAAAGTTAAAGTATACCTAGGCATAATGATGTAAACGGTGGAAACATCTTCGCATTAGTTATAAATCTGTAGAATTCGTATCGATTTAAGTGACAATTTCTTATTTTCAGTAAAAAAAAGCAAACTATGTAATCATGACCAAATTGTCAAAAATTATTAGTGTCCAACTAAGCAATAAACAAGAGATCCTCCTGGCCAGAATCACTCACTCTGATGCGGTTAATTTTAAACAAGTACATGTTTTATTCCCATTTCTTAAACTGAGTCTTGTTGTGAATACAATTCCTCGCAATAACGATTTTTTAATCTGTTCATTTTCTTTTTTTAAATAGATAGACCTTTGTTTGATGATTATGTCTAAAACTACCCTATCACTTTCAGAGCATATATAATTACGTTGGTCCCTTTCAACAATTTCCCTGCAAACCTCGTTTTGTACATAATGTGCTCTCGTTAAATCCATTTCTAGTTCTCTTTTAGATTTTCTTGACATGTCCTTATTTTCTTGTTTCAATTGGTTTGTAAAATCCAATTAATCCTGTTACATCTTATTGTATGACAAATTGAGTTTCTAACTTATACATGTATTCTAACAAAGCTTTTGTACAAAACGATCGTTTTTAATTATAATACATAAATAGTCTATGTTGTTGTTAACATTTACAATGAAAATATAAAGTTGTATCTCTCATAAATTATGTGGCATTAAAGCTGAATTGACCCGTAAAGTGTGTGTTGCTGGTTCATAAACCGATAACGTCAAGAACGCATTGCAGCAATTTTATCTCACAAATGACAGGACAGGAAGTTAAGTTAAAATGGACATCGGAAGTACAGCTGTTGGATGTAATTAGTACGTATCAAAAGAATGTTTGTATCATGGAACAACTTAAAAGTGATATAACTATGAGAAGAGGAATCATTTACGTGGACACCAGCAGTGTCTTCTATCTGCAGTCTCGAAGATTGTACAAAAAACACACAAGAGAATAGAATTTTTCAATACAAATTTAAACTTCGATACAGCATAGTCAAATATTAAATAACACTCTTTCGTCCTAGGACTCGTCAGTGATGTTTAGGGCGTGAAGTTTGACACCCAGAGGGCAACCGGGGAATGAAGTAACAGTTTACAATCAATATTTTTCTTAAGATATTGAAATACATGCTGATAGTGTCACTGATCTGACGATAGGGATTCAAAGTCCTTCCGTTCCGGTTTGTGACCGTCCGTGTCCCGGATCTGTAACAAAATAATTTCCGTAAATCTTAATGTTCGACGGCCGTAATGAATCATTTAGCAAGTAAAAGTTAATTGTTAAAAAAACATGCCTGGTATGAAATACGTCAATTTCTGGAAGGCACAACTATTGTTATATTTGAAGTGCATTTTTCTTTCATGAAAAACAATTGCCCTCAAAAGTCCATTACACTCAGAATACATACTTCAAACGATATGACGTAAAATGCCATTAAACAAATGCCCCTTTGTTGTGTAGAACATCGATCCATCGTCATCAACGAAACATTGTTATTGTCCTAGGGTCATAATAAAACTACATAAATATGTTTGTTTGGCAGTAAAATTTTGTGATGTTGCATATCGATTTTATAAAAGCAATGTTTATGGTGGTAAATGTTGACGCACGTCCGTCAGTCGCATTATTTAGACAACATAGGTACCTAATGGAGTCGCACTGAGATAATGGTTTACATATGCTATAAAAATGTTTGACGACAGAAATGCTACAAATGGCCACTTATTGCACACAACGGATGTGGTGCTGTATTTCTGTTGTCAGAATGGAGACATCTCTACCGATGGCTGTTTACATCATCACAATCGGGCCCAGGTGTGTATTCAGAAGGGAATTCATCAAAATAAAACAGGAATAGAACCAGATATAAAAGGTTTATAATTACACATTTTGTGTCGCATTTTTTCTTATAAGTTTGTAAACCAACTATTGCCTCGGGCCTTTTTATTTATTCGATAACACGGATCTACGTTTGAACAAAACGATACGTCATAAGCATAGAAATAGAATATTTTTCAATGATGTGACATGAGCATCGTAAAACTTCTTCATAATTTCCATCACTCTGCATCTTTTGAAACCCTGTGTTATGAGTTTGCCTCTCACTTGACGATTTCTTTCACCATATCGTGATCATGGGAACAGGCCCTTGAATATTGAATCAACTGTAACATGTTAACACGACAGATTTGGGATGCAAGAATGTTGTTTTCTAGATGAAAAATTCACAATAGGAAAAATGAAATCATCACGCTTACAGCTTGTTGGAAAGCTGTCCACGTTGACAATATTTTTTATACGCATTTATATGATTGAATCAATTTAACCCTAACCCTAACAACCCCCCCCCCCCCACACACACACACACACACACCTACCTCTCACCATACCCGAGATTTTCCTATTTTATCATATGTTATTGGAATAAGGTTTGGATGATAGATCACACCTATTCCGACGTTTCCATTTTCAAACACAATCTACAATACCATACAAAATGAATGTACAGGAAACTCCGCCTCGCCATGACAAAAAAACAAGTTCAACGTGATAACAATGTAATAACAAGCGACTGTTTTCGTCATTCTATGTGTTACATGCCTCGACATAAATTTATTATTGTGAAGTGCAATTTGTCGAGATTCTGTTTCAAATAATACCAAATAAGATAAGAATGTTGTGTAGAGAAAAGACTTTTTAATATTTCTGAAAATAAATTCCTCCAAGTGAAAAAGAGGTGTTAAGCAACACAATGTCGCGTATCTTTATGTTAAGCACTTTTTACGAAATGCTTGTCAACTGTTTACAAAAGATATAATGACCTGTAGACTCTATTTTCCTAACATTTCCTACGTTTACGTTATTAGTACATGATTAGGGATGGGCCATGTTTCTGCTCCTTTTTGCAATAACTAAACGATAACATATCTATCAGCAGAGCTTTAAAGAAATCCACCAACGACAACATAAAACTGCAGTTCTGATTTATAAATGCCGACACAGTATGGATGAAGGCAATACAAGTAGAACTCTGCTCCACCATTGAGTTCTAGATAGAATCTAGCCAACTTGTGTAAATCAGACCCGACTTCATCAACGACAACACCAGGCATACTGACGAGTATCAAACACAGCAACTATTGTTTCCAATAAAGAAATATATAATTACACCTCCCGAAACTTGTATTGAATGTTTATTCATGTTATCATTTCTATCATGATAATCACTTCACCTGTGTTTGAGTAAAATTACAACAAAGACAACAAAGGAATAAATACATCCAGTAATGTCACTTTATTAGAAAAAGAATAACCACTTTATATAAACAAATTAACACAATTTAATCTTAATTTTGTAAAGTCAACTGTTTACAAGCCACAGGACTATGATGATGTTACTACTAGTAATCCAACACCAAGACTTGTTATCCAACAAAGGAATTAAATATTGTAATATAAGTCTACGTCCCCAATTCCAAATGCGTCTCTTCTAACTGGAGATGGATTAATATAAGTTGTCAAACTTGTTTCCAAATCCAATTTCAATTGTTATTTGATGTTACTATGTACCTTGTAAACAGAAAAAATTAAATAAGATAAATTTTACATTAACGTTTCATCCCCGAAGCTATCTATTGTAAGTTTCTCTGTAAGATGCCAACACGTTTTGAAAAAAAAATCATGTCGACAGCAGATGTTGTTTGAGTAGGTATAAGACTACTTAGCGATGGAAACTTTTACATGTGTGATATTTGTATGTCCGTCCCGTCCTCGATATCAAAAATTCCACTTCTTACGTAAGCAATATCGCAAGACTGTTACCACGATTTAAAGGTTTCTGCTGCTGTTTGCCTGATTTCTTTGATCAACATTTGAGTCCATTTGAAGGTTAAGAGATCGTATATCTGAATTCGTGCCATAAAACTCGATATCATTTCCTGTCACACAAAGCGTTCTGCTTTCTTTGAGTACATAGTGTTTAAAGGCCACTTAAATTTCCCAATTGTGTTTAAAGAAGGCTACAGTCTGATCTATACAAGCCTTTTAGCCTCGTTTCATCTGTCAACACATCCTTTCATGTAGTCAAGGCTAATAATTTGATCGGACGGGCAAAACATTTCTGTTTCAGAACACTATATTTACACTGTTTATGTAATGGGTCTGTACACATTTTTATAAGTGCATAAATGCATATTTCATGTACAGAATTGTTAACTATAAACATCTATTACAAAATGCAAGTGATGTTAAGATATACAAAGACAAACTATGATTTACCGCTGGCTTTTCATAGTTACCCTGACAAAAAAGGCCAAGGATCGAAGTTAAAAATGTTTGTGTTCATTAGCATGTCACTCATATTCCGAGTGTGACCTTGAAACACACGTCGCTTTAAGATACTAGGGACTTTTGTAAAGCCAAATAAAACGGGACGTAAGATAACTTATTTTGATACAAATGGTGATTTAAAACTTATATATATATAGAAGTTATAAAAATAGCAAACGGGTCATTTAAGTCCATGTAGAGTAATGTAGGTGATACTATTGGATTAAATGCCAAATAGAATACTTTTTTTAGATCAGCCCAGTTACAAGTACACAGTCACAACTCATTTTCGTATCTGTCATCTATGTGTCTATATATTGTGAACAGTTATGGTCACAATCGCAATTTTCTCTAAACAAAGTCGATCTAGATTCCATGATCGACAAACCAAAACAATCACGAACACGTAGCCAAATCCTTTCACTACTGAATAAAAAAGGTTTGTTTTGGCTAATTAACTGGGTGTAACTTTAAAATCAGCAGACAAGAACGTTATTTACGACTGTACAATGCACATAGTGATAATAGCGTTGTAATGATTACCTCCCTTACACCGCTAACAAACATTATAATGTTAAATATAGCCAATGTAATTCGTGGTTTTCATTGGTAGATAAAATTAGTAACATTTACGTTAGGTATTTAAAGACGGTGAACCATAAGGTACGGTGTGTAGAAAGAGAAGACACACCTAAACGGTAGGTTGTGTATATCTGTGTTGTTATAACTTGATATAATATAACTAAGTCGCTACACATCCTAAGTTTAGGTTATATGATAGCATGTACTAAACCAGATCATATTCTTGGATTAATACTTAATATTAGAATGTCGCCAATATAAAACTTGTTATTGTAGTTAACATTTATTTTTTTAAAAATATGGATACATGTTTACATTTTCAATTTGCAGTAATCGTATGTATCTAGGTGTGATGACTGCTTTCTCCCCGTGCAAGATTTTCAAATAATGAAAGATTACTCAAGGTTTACAGTTCGCCGTGAGATGGCCCATGAAAATGTTAAATAACTGGGGAACAAGCATCCCTCATCAAAGAGAGACATGATACATAATCCTAGAATAGAGGTTCTTTCTTTAAAAGTAATAACTTTATGTAATCGATGTTCTTGGATAACCAAAACGCAAGTTATTTGGATTGACCAAAATTTACACAGCTGTAGTCGTCGATGAAGCAGAAGACACTTACTCTTACGGAACACTTGGGTTTATTCCCCTTGACCTTTTTCAGCGTGTTAACCAACATGTGCTAGCTAGTTCCCTTCGCAGGTACGGTTACACATTAGCGTTATACTTTATCTACACACTCCTACATCATTTAATAGTTAAATTTATTAATTTTCCCTAATTAACTTTTGCTAAACCTACATTCGGACTACGTAACAGCAGAATAACTTCTGTTGAATCTAGTTCTGGGTCAACACATAAACCGACTAGTAGTACGTTTTCAATCATTGCCGAATGCATCCTCTATAATTTACCCTAATTTTTATTTGCTTTTTGTCAGAAGTTTTTCTTGATTTATAACAGTGTATTTGGTGTTATTTGTTATCAGGTTAGTATCATTCATGGTGACCCACCTGAAGCTTGTTGCTGTTGGGGACGGTGGAGTCGGTAAAAGTTGTCTGCTTATTGCAAACGCAACTGGACACTTTCCTCATGCGTACGTACCGACCGTGTTTGGAAGCTGGGTAATGGACCTTCGTTTGAAAGAGAAGGATTATAGGTTAGCCTTGTGGGATACCGCCGGTCAGGTAACAATAAAGCTCTTTCTAAGGTCTGGGACTTACATTGCACTTAATTCATAAGATACGCGCGCTTATGTCATTAGCTGTATTGCTATTATTTTCGATTCCGAGAAAATATTATTACATTAAGCTTCTACTTGTGTGTTAATAGTTAGTTATAGTGTGTGAGGGTGTGTGTGATGGTGTGTGTATGTGTGTGAGAGAGAGAGAGAGAGAGAGAGAGAGAGAGAGAGAGAGAGAGAGAGAGAGAGAGAGAGAGTGTGTGTGTGTGTGTGTGTGTGTGTGTGTGTGTGTGTGTGTGTGTGTGTGTGGTGTGTGTGTGTGTGTGTGTGTGTGTGTGGGGGGGGGGGGTGGGTGGGTGTGTGTGGGTGTGTGTGTGTGTGTGTGTGTGTGTGTGTGTGTGTGTGTGTGTGTGAGGGTGTGTGGGTGAGGGTGTGAGAGGGAGAGAGAGAGTGTGTGTGTTCTTTTAGTCATTATTAGGTGTAAGTCATAGTGGTAAGACACTATGACATCTCTTGGTTTTTGGTTCACATGTTTACCATCACTATAAATCATCATTTATTAAATTGCATTGATGCCATACTGTATATTTCCGTAAGAATAGATCGCATCGTCATTACATATTCACTATTCACGTTATACTATGTATTGTTCTTTCTACTATTTTTTATGTTACACTAGAATACCATTAGCAATGCAATAACTCTTTAATATTATGTAGAGTTACAATTGTTGTCAGTCACACAACCAAGACCAAATCATTAGTGTCCGCTACTTGTTTTTATGCATTTATTTGTCATGATAGCGTAATATTTGTCCCCAATTAGGAATGCATCATTGATTAGAATAATCTGTCTGGCAATGAACGGTGACTTCTTTCCACAGGAAGACTACGACAGACTGAGGCCGCTATCCTACCCAGGAAGTGACATTGTCTTCATCTGTTTTTCTGTGAACAACAGAGATTCTTTTGAGAACATCAGAGAAAAATGGATCCCAGAACTTCACCTCCATTGCCCAAATGTGCCTAAAGTACTTGTGGCTTGTAAAACAGGTCAGTTGATGACACCGAAAATGATCAGCCAAAACCAGTGTCGATAAGAGTTGCTGTAATACCCATCATAAGTATAACTCGCTTAGAATTGTTACTCGAGAGTTTAGTTGCATGTTGATCTCTTGATCAGTGATGAATTAAAAAAGAGAGATTACAGACTTCTTGAAATTTTTTGACAGATCTACGTCATACGGGCACTGGGGATTACGTAACATATGCTGAAGGTTCAAAGGTCGCCAAAGACTTAGGACTGCGGTATCAAGAAACCAGTGCTTTGAATCGAGAAGGACTGACATCATGTTTTAGCAGAGCGGTACGACATCAAGATTCAGATAAATCAGAGACTAAAACAGCCCACATACACTTCAAATCAAAGAAAAATAATAACTTGAATAAGGTTTTGTTTTTATTACTGACAGTCATGATAACACATGTTCTAAGTAAACATTATATGTTTGAAATATCACAATTTATCTACATTTGTTTTAATACTTCAACCTTTTTTTTCTCTAGATCACAGAGGCTACTGAAGGATTGGCAGTACGACGTAGAAAGAAAGAGCGGTTAAGGTTTTTTAAGAGAACGTTAAAGGAAATTCCAAGCCCTCCAAACATGCCACCCACAGGTATGAAATAGAGGCTATTTCATAGTGCCATCAGTAATAACAGATATATTTCGCAATGTTTTTCTCTTGTTTTGTGATCAGTTTTTACCATTCTAAGAGCTTGTGTTTCTGAGATGTGTGTATGGGATGACAATCAACCGATCGATCACGCTTTATTTACTTTTACATTAACAACTTACTATTTTTGTTTGATGGAGGTCATATATGGTACCTATCATACTAGTTAACAAAATGTTGTCCAACAGACCTATGTAATATCAATGAGAACGATAATGAATTATGAAAAACGATGCGTTTTTTTCCGATTTGAGGTTTTATCGATATAAAGTTAAGTCTAAAAGTCGCCAGCGTGATCATTTACATCAACCCAAATGCTAAACACGTACTGCGAATTTCCTGTGTTGAAGTGTTTCATACGTTGCAGAAAAAGCCCCTTGGATTGATATAGCAACGTCCCGATTCGCTGACGACTGGCGAGGGATGCTGGAGAAACCCATACACTCTGACGTAACATTCATTTTAGGAGAAGGAAAACCACTAGCCGCACATAAGCTAGTGATGTGTTGTTCTTCTTCATTCTTCTGTCAGGTCTTGGGGATGACACCGTTATATAAGGTACTGTTGTAACTGTATCTAGTAATTTTCCCTGGATCTGTAACATCATGACGAAATAATCATTAAGATTCAATAAGCATGGAGATAATCTTTCCAAAAAAAGTAACGAAACGGTTATCACATTACAAGGTTTCGAGGACATTAGTATGGTATGTGTAGTCATCGTGGTTTCAAGTCGACTTAACTACTATATTGTATTTTGTAAAGAAAATAATAATAAAAAGAAAAAAGAGAACAAAGAAAAAATGAAAATCTCAAGCTTTTATTTTTTAACTTTTTTGTGACATAATTTGGTTTCTTTTACAGTCTAGCAAAACGAGAAGCGTCGCTAACTTGCATTCCTTTTCACACGAGGCTATGAATGCCGGTCGTATCGAAGGTATTTCTAAAATATCGGAGGAGATAATCCAGGTCAAAGGTCAACGGCGGCGCCACACAACAATTAAGCTGAATTCTAATATAAAGCAAACAACGTTTACTAGTGTCCTTGAATTTCTATATACAGGTAATAGCATCATTTATCAAAGTTCTGAACGTTAAATTATCATTCGATTACACGATAATTACCAGAAGCTAAAAGACAATTTTAAAAAAAACGCACATGATCGCTTGATAATGGATATTGTTTTAGATTGTCGTAACACCGTCAAATGACGAGTCTTATTTACCACGTCGATGTTTTCCTATGCTTTTTATACCAGCGATACATTTCAGTTGTCTTATTGTCTACTGATAGTATACTATAATGTTCTGTTGTATTGGTAGTAGTTTTAATGTTCTTTGTAAATACATCTGAGTTACATTAATAATGGCTTTTTCCTAAGAGGTTCCTTTTGCAATACATTCCCCAGTAGAACATACGAGAGATTTCTACATCTTGCACCTCTGACAAGGCAGGACAATTGTAAGCTATTAAATTCACCTTGTTTTTTGCATCAGATTATGTATTTCCAACGTTTTTGTAAGTCGCCATTCAAGTGTATGTTTATGTACATTTTTGTAGGAATTCCAAATCTGCTAAGAAACCACAGGGACATCAACCTACAGGACCTGAATGACATCATAACAGTATCGAGGATTTTCAAATTGACGAGACTCGGCGAGATCTGCCAGAATTATGTAATGGAGCATGATTTTTTGAATCCAAGCATTGGATCCTTTCTGAATGATGAAACAGGACAAAAGATGAAAGAACTTTATTTCAACAATCCAGAGCATGCTGATGTTGTATTTAATGTTCAAGGTAACAAATAATTTGCGTTCTGTCACCGAAATGTTTTATGACTGCGTAATTATAAAAAGACGAACCTTGGACGTTGTAATAGATGTAGGTAATCAAAACCACTTCATTTTACACTGATTCCGTTATCAGGGAAATGTCCGCAGTATCCACTGGATGTCTTGGTATACATAAAATAAATGTAGAAAAAATGCGTATGATATCATTGTTACGAGACATGCTACATGTAAGGACATTTCTAAACCTTGTTGCTACTACTATACAATGATATTGTTAAGATGTTTCCATACCCTGTTCCTGTGATTAGAAATGATCATTCTGGTAATTACAATGTCGGAGGTAGCGTTGTAATTACTAGATATGGAGTGTCTATTTTAGCGTTTAGGTTCCATACGAATATGCCAGTTCTTCAGCTATCGACAAAACTATGATATGTGTTGAAATAATCTTTGTTTATGTTCCAGGTCAGACAATCTATGCTCACAGAGTCGTCCTGTGTGCACGCTGTGGTGTCCTAGCAACCATGTTCCGGGATCAATTACGAGGGGAGATAGAGGTAGTAATGAAGGTAATCTAAATTAGCCATTCAGAATGTCTCACAGTGGTATCTGGTTGATTTAGTGGTGTCCCAATGATATAGTGATGTCCTAGTGATGTCCCATTGATATAGTGATGTCCCATTGATATAGTGGTGTCCCATTGATACAGTGATGTCCCATTGATATAGTGATGTCCCATTGATATAATGATGTCCCATTGATGCCCCATTGATATCGTGATGTCCCATTGATATAGTGGTGTCCCATTGATACAGTGATGTTCCATTGATGCCCCATTGATATAGTAATGTCCCATTGATATAGTGATGCCCCATTGATATAGTGATGTCCCATTGATACAGTGATGTCCCATTGATATAGTGATGTCCCAATGATATAGTGATGTCCTAGTGATGTCCCATTGATATAGTGGTGTCCCATTGATACAGTGATGTCCCATTGAAATAGTTATGTCCCATTGATATAGTGATGTCCCATTGATATAGTGGTGTCCCATTAATATAGTGGTGTCCCATTGATGTCCCATTGATATAGTGATGTTCCATTGATATAGTGATGTTCCATTGATATAGTGGTGTCCCATTGATATAGTGGTGTCCCATGGTGTCCCATTGATGTCCCATTGATAGAGTGACGTCCCATTGATATAGAGATGTTCCGTTAATATAGTGATGTCCCATTGATATAGTGGTGTCCTATTGATACAGTGATGCCCCATTGAAATAGTTATGTCCCATTGATATAGTGATGTCCCATTGATATAGTGGTGTCCCATTAATATAGTGGTGTCCCATTGATAAAGTGATGTCCCATTGATATAGTGATGTTCCATTGATATAGTGGTGTCCCATTGATATAGTGGTGTCCCATGGTGTCCCATTGATGTCCCATTGATAGAGTGACGTCCCATTGATATAGTGATGTCCCATTTATATTGTGGTGTTCCATTGATATAGTGGTGTCCCATTGATATAGTGGTGTCCCATGGTGTCCCATTGATGTCCCATTGATAGAGTGACGTCCCATTGATATAGAGATGTTCCGTTAATATAGTGATGTCCCATTGATATAGTGATGTCCCATTGATATAGTGGTGTCCCATTGATATAGTGGTGTCCCATTGATATATTGATGTCCCATTGATATAGTGATGTCCCATTGATGTCCCATTGAGATAGTGATGTCCCATTGATGTAGTGATGTCCTAGTGATGTAGTGATGTCCCATTGATACAATGATGTCCCATTGATATAGTTGTGTCCCATTGATATAGTGATGTTCCATTGATATACTGATGTCCCATTGATATAGTGATGTCCTAGTGATGTAGTGATGTCCCATTGATACAATGATGTCCCATTGATATAGTGATGTCCCATGGATATAGTGATGTCATATGATGAAGACTTATATCGAATATCTATCTTTTTCGGGGGATTCAGCGAAACTTTCCATTTTCACGACAGGAATCATGGGGATGGGCGACTTTAGTCAGTTATATATCGCAAATCATGCATTTCAAGCAGCATCGTTAAGGTGTTTGACCTTTATCGGAATTCCTTTTTCTTACAGGTAGATATCCCTGCCACATCCGCGGAGGGTTTCCTAGCCTTTTTGGAATACTTGTACACTGATCACGCGCCTATAGAAGAAGTCGATGTCTTAGGTCTCATTGTTCTAGCAGATATGTACGACCAGAAACGTCTCATAAATATGTGTGAACTGTATATTACAAAACAAGTCGAGAGAAGTGTCACAAAGCAAATAAAGCATGCTAACATTGACGTCATAGGAGTCCTATTAGCATCACAGGTATGTCGACTATCACCGTCGTATGGGCGGTTTATCAAATTAAAGTAATCACACGCGCTGTTAATAAGACGATCTTCGTGATCCCGTGATGGAGACTTCTAATATATTTACGTATTCAAAAGACGGTACACTTACCTCTAATCATAATTATAAGTACAAAATGCGTGTTTTGACTATACCTTATTGTTGCCTTGGGAAGACCGAATGTTTTACCTTATGATATATGTGTTAATATTATTATTTCATGTTTACAGGTATACAATGCCCACCAGTTGACCGCGTGGTGCTTACATTTCATATCCAGTAACTATACAGCGTTCAAACACAGGTCGGATTTCTACCAGCTCAAGGGAGATAACTTGGAATTAGTGACAAAAAACCAGTGGCCCCCGGTTTCTTATCTCAAACAAATTGCAGAATATCAAATTGAATGGACAGGAAATGACGTAGAATGCTCATTGATGTGATATATATATGTGTGTGTGTGTGTTTGTGTGTGTGTTGTGTGTGTGTGTGTGTGTGTGTGTGTGTGTGTGTGTGTGTGTGTGTGTGTGTGTGTGTGTGTGTGTGAAAAAAAAAAAAATAACAAACAAACAAACTTTGTTGTCTAAAAGATGAAACCAGCCACCGCACACTAATGGTTTTGTTGTAAAATGATATTGTTTTAGACAACATATCCAGATCAAATATTTGAAAAAGAAGGAAAACAGAATCCTACGCATAAGTACTGGTAACATCATATATTAAAACGCTACTAGAATCAAAGTGTCACTGTGCATTATATAAGTACTATTAATCATCAGCTTTTATCCAATGACCAGTTGATACCGTTTTATTGGAAACCACATAACCTGATTCCGGCCATTCAGTATATGTAAACATTTATAATATTATAATATTATTGCAAATGTGGTGAATTCTTCGTGCCAAGTAAATATAGAAAAAAGTTAAAACACTGAAAAACATTTGATATAAAACATAAGCGCTTTCATTTCTTCTTCAGATGTTTTACATAATTACTAAATATCTATATACATATAGTTTGTTTTGTTACTGAATTGATGATATTGATACATATATATGTGTTTGTTATTTGTGTAGAATTTCTATATCTTATATGGGGAAATAATGATACATTTCACTAAATGAAGTGGAATTAAGTTGTCACCCATCGCTGAAGCACTAAGCATGAATCCGGACTTGTACAAGTCTACATGTACTCAAATCTACTGTACCGCTGCAATTAAAGTGTTTGTGAAGTAAATGGAAGTATATCATCAAAACTATAGTAGGTGTAGTTTTATTTTGGGGTATTTAATTCGATTTCGTAAAGAAATATAATATTGTCGCGAGACTGATTTTCATGGGTGGAATAAAGATACTATAGTAAACAAATTCTATGTCACCGCAAAAGATTCCCCAAAAATGACGGTGGTCAACAACAACGAATGATTTTATCGGTCGGTAGTGTTAAAATATTGCGAATCTCCCCGAGTCAACTCAAAAGTAATTGATGATCGGTTCAAAGGTATGAAAGTTACACAGCCAGTGAATCCCTTTGTCAAATCGACGGTGAATGACCACGGCTTAACGTGTCGCAAAAAGATTTATAAGAATGTGTAAGCAATCAATAGCTGGAAGTAACAAAATTTCTTCACAGGTGCTTATCAACAACATAAGAAAACGTAACGAAATTTGACCTATCCTCCATGAAAATCACGTTACCTGGCAAGGACGATAACTCTGTTTGCATTTCAAAGGGCAAATATTCCCCGCTATGCAAACTTTTACTTAAAATTTAAATGCCATTCAACATATAAGGAATTATCTTAAATTTAATTCTTTTATATCTAAAGCCTAGATAAAGAAATAGTTGCCACCAGGTTTGTCATTTTAAGATAATTAATTAATATAAGAGTGCTCTTTCGGACCACAAGGCGATATTGCCTTGACTTCGTTATGAGTACTGTATCAACTCATCTTGGTTCTTGGGATCCGATGGTTGATCTTAATGGAAACAAGACATTTCCCTAACATTTTCTTAATTGTGATCGATGTCAATTCATTTATTCTTTCCCTTTTTTTAATTAACCTTAATACGTTTAAAACACCAATAGCGAAAACACAATTAAATGGACATATTGAACATATACACAAAGACTCGCTGATAGGGTGTTTACCTTGCTTTAATCTACACGAAGTATATAAAGGAATCGTTAATAGTCCAATACTGCTGAGATTCTACAGACTATATAGGTATTACGTTATTGATATGTAAACTTTACAATATTGCAGTAGTTACAATAATTGACTTAATTCTAAGAGTTTGAAAACACCTGTAAATATTAGTACACCGTCAATCGCGTCTATCGTGTCCGTAAGGTCCACGAGGACATCAAATTGATTTTCTTTCAACAAACATTATCTTGTTACCATGTCAAATCAGAATGAACAAGAAAAACAATTAAAATCAATATAATTTGTTATATCAATTATAAGACAACCACAATATCGTCATTTTTGCCTTTATCATAGTGTAATGTTATTCGTTTTTTTTTACGTTGTAAAGCGAGCTCGACAGGATAAACCTGGGCTATCGTTGACTACACATGATAGTACTGTCAGCTGAAATGATCCGTACCAATAGCTGATGCAGTGAAGATGTATATTTAAATGAATATTGAATTGATGTTCGGAGGACAGTATTCCTAAGGATGTCAAATATGAATTTGTATAATACAAATAGCTGGATACATAAGAACATTTCTTTGAATGTACATGCATGTACAATGTTTTCAGTATAACAACCTACCACAAACGACGCAAAATACGGATAACAATAATAAATCTACTAAATGGCATTCTAATGATATAAACTCATATTAGACAAGTAAGTTGACAAATACTGGTTGCAAATAAATCATGGTATGTTTGGTGGTAGACAAATACGTTGTAATTGAAGAGTTGTGATAGTATATCGTAACGTTTGTAAAGTTAGAATTCAAATGTAATTTCATGCGTATTGCAGTATTACACATTGACCGATTCACGTCACCTATTGAGTTCCTTAGCACTGATTCACGTCACCTATTGAGTTCCTAATCACCGATTCACGTCACCTATTGAGTTCCTTAGCACTGATTCACGTCACCTATTGAGATCCTTATCACTGATTCACGTCACCTATTGAGTTCCTAAGCACTGATTCACGTCACCTATTGAGTTCCTAAGCACTGATTCACGTCACCTATTGAGTTCCTTAGCACTGACTCACGTCACTCATTGAGATCCTTAGCACTGAATTACGTCACCTATTGAATTCCTAATCACCGATTCACGTCACCTATTGAGTTCCTAAACACTGATTCACATCACCTATTGAAATCCTTAAAACTGATTCACGTCACCTATTGAAATCCTAAACACTGATTCACGTCACCTATTGAGTTCCTAATCACCGATTCACGTCACCTATTGAGTTCCTAAACGCTGATTCACGTCACCTATTGAGTACCTTAGCACTGATTCAAGTCACCTATTGAGTTCCTAATCACCGATTCACGTCACCTATTGAGCTCCTTAGCACTGATTAAGGTTTGTGGATCATGTCCAAATGATGGCAAATTAAAAGTTAAAGTGAGAATAAATCTAGAAGACATATTATAAAAATAACATCAATATCATTTCTAAAAGAGGGAGGACGTAATATAACATAGTCCTAATAACTTTAAAAGTTTTGAGGTGGGACACCGACTTCGAGATCAAAGTTACTCATTACTGGAAAATTTGAAATATCCATGATAACTTTCCTTTCGCAATATATATGTTATTAGCTTTCATGGTTTCATAACATAAAAGGTTTTCATTTGGATAAAGATAACTTTATAAAGTGTGAGTCACGGATATAACTGTGAAATATTGAAAGATATACTTAATTATACGGAACCCGGATACACGCTTATATCAATGAAGTAAAATATGACCAAAGGTCAAACGTGCGTTTACTTCACATACAAAACACAATATATAGCAGATCTCTCTTATCCCCACGTTTATTATAAAAAGTAAACATAAAAACACAGAAAATACAGGTACAAATGTTGAAACGATGATATACTCACAACTCATGCTTTGGTTACGGTAGTATATATGTTTGACTGATGATTGTATATTAACAATATTTCAGTTAATCTCATCCTTGGGCGATAATTTTCAAATATCAAAAGTTAGGTTTATATGTCGGTTAGAAATAACACTAAAATATAGAGTATATCACAGACATTCTCAACACCACTTAATATATATATATATATATATGTATATATAATAAATATTAACTATGCAAATAAATCAAGACTGGTTTAAATACAAAACAAAACCTTATTTGTCGTCTGGATGGTAACAATATACATGCACTTCATACCTTGATTAATACCGGTGTCACATCATATTTGTATCCCCATCATAAAAGTATCCGGATACTTTTTCTGACCAAAGTATCTCCCCTATATTATTTGCCATCAGGAAAGTATGTAGGAGAGATTTTTCATATAAACATGTTTATAGGGGAATACATTTATGATGGCCATCAGAGGAGTATCTAAGGGGAGGTTTAAATTTAACGATACATAGCAATGACGGGCATTAAGAGATAAACACAACCATGATGCTAGAATTGGGGCTTGGGTCTGGCTCCATCCCCAGGGACTTACTTTGTTATATCAGTTGAAATCCCTGTCCATGAACTATATATATATATATAGACTTACTTGGCATTATGATATTAACATTTTTGATATGTTAGAATTGACTCTTGGATGTGGCACACATCAAGAGACATTCTTCTGAGTCATATGTTTGATATAGTTGAGATACCAACCTGAGAACCATATAAGCTCTCTCAGGGAATCAAAAGAGCAAGACAATGATGATATAAGAATTTGGCTATTGGTTTTGCTCCATCAAAGAGGTTAAGTGACTGAGCTTTAATTTGGAAATATTTGAAATACCCAACTGAAAGGCATGTATGACATTGCTGGGCTTTAAGATCCAGGTGGGTAATACAGGCTCTATGTGCCTCTTGTTTTTGTATATATTCTATAAAGTCTAATGCTTTCTGCTACATGTGACACAATAAATGAAAATTACGCTACAGAGTGACTTTTTTTTTTTCTTTCTGCTTGCATTATAATGAGCCAAAGATTGATTCCTACGAATTAATGTTGAATCAAGACTTTTACCATTGTTATCAGTAAACTGCCTGTAGTTACACTTTTTAAGACTGAAAGGATTCCAGGATTACGGATCCTGACCAGTTTCAGTTCTGAGTAGTTATCTGTCATACGGAAACTTTCTGGTCTTTGACCTTTTACATCAAGTGTAAAGGAAGGTACGTGTGAGGCACAAAGTAGGGGTATTGCTGAGTTTGACTTCCAGAAAAGATGCAGAACATTTCAAAATAAAAGAA